AAAACAGGAGTTTTAAGCTTTTCTGCTTTCATAGTAACAAAGAAACATAATGAAATCTTAATTTCCCAGTTATTTTTTTTAAAGATCCATATGAAGATGTCTTGTAATCTGTGCAGAAGCACATCAGACAATAGGCTTTAATTCTGCACAAAGCAGGTCTTTGGCTCTTAGCTCTGCTGAGGTGAAGGTCGTGTAAATGTTTGGCCAAACTCTAAAGAGATTATGATGTGTTGACTCGATAAAAATGCAGGTTTTTAGTTTACACAGACAAGTCACTCAGACAGATGTTTGTTTGTTTTTAGATCTCTTTGTAAATGCACTTAGCTTTTACACTTTATCCTTCAGCCTCATCCTCTCCCTCCCTCCCTTTTTAAATCAGATTGCAATAAAGCTATATGAACTCTTCATTCATAAGCTGCAAAACTGCTATTTTCTTTCTAGTGCTGTTCTCATTTAGTCTCATTCAGCATTTCTATATCTTCACTTGCTGCATATCTGAAATCTTATGGTAATGAGGGTTTGGCCTTTTTTAAAACAAGTTTGAATATTAGCATGTGCCACTTGATGTCTGATTTCATAGCATCAACATGCATGTAAAACCTGGTTAGCAGGCACTCATGCAAAAGCACTGATGCAACAATCAGTGTTTGCATGTTTATGAGAGAGCTGTGTGTGTGTGTGTGTGTGTGTGTGTGTGTGTGTGTGTGTGTGTGTGTGTGTGAGGGAGGGAGTGTGTTGGTGGTGCTGCTTGAAGGAGAGCAGTAGTGATGGAGCCTGAAAGCCCTGCAGCGTAACTGTTCTCCCAGCGCATCGTCAACTTCACTGCTGAGCCCACAACACACGCTCAGCCTTAACCCCTGCTCGCACACTCTACACTTCTCTCTGAATCTTCCTTTCTCTCTTTGTTTCTCTTCATCCACTCTCGCTCTGCTTATTTAAAGCTCTGCGTCTGAATCTTTAAAACGCTCGTCTTTAACCAGTTCCTTTATGCACTTTGGTTTGACTACCTCACTTATTCACTGATTCCACCTCTATGCCTCTATTCCATGTCTCAGTCCTTTTCACCGCTTTATTTTTCCGATGTGTGCCATCAACCAGGCCCAGACCCTGACTTCCAGGATGATCACCAAGTCCAGCTGCAAAAAAAGCTATATGACTGTTGATAATTCAATCATAAATCCTGCTTTTGTCTCATGCACTGTCAGGGGGTGGGGCCTTTGGGTGACAGACAGCTCTCAGATAGAAGGGCAAGCACTATGTCATCATGGTGACTGCAGAGTGATTTAAGGAAATGGAGTGATAAGAGCAGAGAGGAAGAGGCTCAAGCCTGAAGGGGCGACTGGCATTAAAGCAATGTCCCAAGATTCATGGATGTGTGTAAGATTCTATGCATATGAGTGTGAGAATATTCCAGAGTTCATTTGTGTGTCAATATGCGCACATGTCAGCAAGCCTTAGTGCATGTATGTAGGCCTGTATGTGTATTGTGTATCTGCATTTGTGGTGCTTCTGAAATCCCATTAATCATTCTAGCCCAACAATGCTGAGTACATTATTGTTTACCTGAGCTCTGCATTGTGTTTGAATAGCCACGCACACATGCTCTGCGTTATATTAAGGCATTGTTTCAAAAGTGGTTGCTTTGCTCCTCTTTTTCTGCCAGAGAGATTAAAAATAGAAACATTCATGCTCTGTGAATGTACTTTCCCTCCAGGAAGTGTGCAGTTGTGGGTGTCTGACATTGGCTGCACACCATCACGTGGCATGTCCTTCCCAGGCTGCCATTGGCTGGCACCTGTGGGGCTCTGTGAAGAAAAGCTTTTCTGACAGGACCCAGGAGCCCAGAGGAGTTGCTGCAAACTGGGAGGACAATGTCGGTGGAACCAGGAGAGCAATGATGGGGGGGGGGCTCAAGAGATGGCATCACCATGGCTGTAAGCGCTGAGGTGCTGGGACGTGACCTCCCAGTCACAGCGAAAAGCAGGAATCCACAGAGATGATCACATGTCTGAAAAGGTGCAGGGGAAAATGAATGAGGGGAAGGAGAGGACGATGATTTGTAGCAATGACACACAGGGAGCGCGTGTAACCACCACATACACTCAGCTGACACTTAGATTTGTTGTCATTCAATCTGACTGTTCCCCAACACTTTACATATAAACACATCTGGTGCCATTTCATAAGGTAATGGTTTATAACACATTTCTCATTGTTGTATTGATTCAGTATTCAAGGATTTAAAAAATAAGTAATTAATTCAAAAACTCTGCTGATTAAATGTCTTGATTCTCTTTTTTTTTTCTTCTTCAGTTATTGGCTAAGTGGGTGGAATATCCTACAAACCATCATTGAAGCTGTCGTCCTACATTTCTGTGGAGACATTGCCATCTGGTGTTTAATGTTAGGAACACAAACGGCCTTTAAAGAAAGGCTGTTCAAAATGGAGTAATGTAACACAGAGAATGTTCCAGCGACACATGCAGGATTAGCATAGCTTTTTTTTCTCAATATAATGCCTCACTGATTTAATGTGACGTATGTAACATAGATAGGCCCAACATCTTAAAAGGCAACAAGAATGGCATTGTACAATCATTTCGGTACTACCCCTTTCTCTGTGTAAATAGAGAATTTAGAGAAAGCAACATTATTTCAGATGTGTTATTTAATTTGTATGGCAGCAGCTCATATAAATGTTCTGTACTGTACTACAATTGATTTACCCTCCAGGTAGAATAATCTCTGAGCAGTGAGATCCATGCATGTCTGTATAGTTGTCCCATCATCAGGTCTGCTGCAGAGGGTTTCATTTGGCAAGAACACAGTGTCCTCAGAGGGAGAGTCATAAAACTCTAAATGTATCATCATGTGAGACAGAAGACAGAAATACAACTGATGAGGTATATTCTGCTCTTCCATTAAATTCTCTCACTTTTTCTTTCTTTCTCTCTCTCGGTTTCTCTCATACACTTTCTCATGATGTTCCCCGTCTCAAATTCAAATTAGCTCCAATGGCTTGACGATAATTAAGTACAGTAATTCCAAAGCAGCTTGAATATGACATAAAAAACAACGTTGCTTGCATGTTACTACACTACAGTTAATTTTATTTATTTGTTAGGGATGGAGCACGTTAATAAACATGGGTATAAAATACATCCGTGGTCACTAGGCAGATTACAAATTACAACATACAGATACAAATAGAGATGACCAAATACTTTGTATTACATGTCAAGTTAAAAGTGATCACAGATCTGGTTTGACTAAAGTCATTGTTTGAAAATGGGTCTTAAAAGTGGAATATGTAGGGCGCTCTCTTATTGCAGAAGGAAAGCTATTCTAATATTTACTTTCCTTTACTGACAGCACAGTTTGTCTACATGGGGTGCGTATATGTGGCACCTCACAGTCCCCTCTAGTGGTGGCCTTGCTGCTATTACCAGCCCTCTGTTTAATCAATTTAAACAAAGAAGGTGGGTCAAGCCCAGGCAAAGCCTTTTACGTAAAACAAGCTTTTTTGAAATGTTTTGAAAGAGTTAAAAAAAAAAATTTTTGATGGCTTTCTTGAAAAGTACATTGATTTAAGTGTTGTTACACCTGTAAGTGACCAGTAAGTAGAAGAATGCTGTGATTAATGTGTGAAAAAAAATCATTGAGGGTAAAAACATCTTGGAGCATTAACTGTCAGAAATGATCTCAGTTGCATACAAAGACATAGACAATAACCAAGCCACAGCCTCTTCATTCTGCTGCCGTCTTCTGCAGCTTCCTTCTTCAGGCTCCAAAATGTAACCTCCATTCTCCACCTATATAGTTTGTGTGTGTGTGTGTGTGTGTGTGTGTGTGTGTGTGTGTGTGTGTGTGTGTGTGTGTGTGTGTGTGTATATACTTTCTCAAAATGAGACTACAAACTGCACTTCGTTGTGCATCTATGTTGTATGGCAATAAATTAACCTTGTACCTTGTATATCCTCTGCATGTATTTGCATGTGTGTGGTTGATGATGAATTGTTTATGATGAAGGGGGTACAGTAGCCATTTTTCTCTCTGTGTCTTTCCTCTAAGTTGTTATCAGCATGGCGAAAGCCAAGACCAAGAGTTGATTTAAAAGATGTGGAGAAATGTATCAGTATGTGAGCTTACAAAATGTGTTACGCTCAACTGAACAGGATGAGCCGGTCTTTGGACTTGTGTTGAGTTGGGAAAGGTGTCTTGATTTTTTTCTTTAATGTTTTTTCTCCCCCGGGTTTTGTTGTTTTATCCATTTTTGTGGAATATGATTGTATGTTGTTTTTTGTGGATGGTGATTTGATATAAGAGAAAGAGTATTAAAAGATTCAAATGATCTTGCTCTCTGTCTCTCACATTCTCTCTTTTGTTCTGTATTTCCCTATTTTTCTCTTTTAAATTCACCCTTTGTTACTCACATCCATCATCTTTATTTTCTGTTAAATTTCCAACAAAAGCAAATTAGGGCAAACATGGGCTTTGGTAATTAGACTGGGGTGTTTAGTGTGAGTAAATAACAAAGAACAACCAACCATCCGTTCTTTAGCTATGCGTCATTATATCTTTGAGTATCGCAGGGGGCTGGAGCCAATGCCAGTTGACGTTGGGCGAGAGGCGGAGCACCCTAGACAGGTCACCATGTGATCACAAGGCTGACACACAGGCAGCCATTCACGCTCACATTCATGCCCACAATCAAGATCTGAATTATTAGTTCAGACAGTAGCTAGTGCCAAAGTAAATCAGGGTGAGATGCTTCAAATGTACCCCCTTCCTCCTCACACAGTCACACAGTAGCCAATGAAATGAGTGGCATTCAATTTTATCAACAACACCCAGCTCACGTCACTGGCTTTCCCCTCCTCTCCTCATCTCTGTGTGTGTGTGTGTGTGTGTGTGTGTGTGTGTGTGTGTGTGTGTGT